GTATTTGTGAAGAATATTGAATATACCATGGACTGCCAGAAGAATGAACAAATCAGTCTTAGAAGAAATATAACCAGAATGCTCCTAAGAAGCGAAGATGGTGAGATTTTGACTCACTTTGGGCATGTCATCAAGTAAGACCCAATCGCTGGAAAAGGGCATCATGTTTGGTAAAGTGAAGGGCCAATCAAAACAAGAGAAGCCCTAAATGAGATGAACTGGCACAATAGCCACAGCAGTGGATTCCAGCATACCGAGAGTCAGGACGATGGAGCAGGGCAGAGCAACATTTCCGTTGTGTGATCCATGGGTTCGCCATGAGTTAGAGCCGACTTGATGGCAACTAACAACAGCAATACTGAGGAGTTGAATACAAGGTTAGGAATCTTGGATTTTCTTATTTGATCCTGAACACAAAATTTTAGCTTAGAAATTTAGAATGTGGCTAAGGGGATCAAAAGATTCCTAGGCAGTCAGTAAAGTAGAACGTTTGGACTAGCCAAAACATTTGCTTAGAATGTTATTTAGTAAAAACAGAGAAACAAAGACTTTTTTTTAGGAATCATGAGCTGCTCTGAAGCATAGAGGTAGTTACTATTTTTAATGATAGTTTCAAATAAAGGGTTTAGGGCCACAGTTGCTGTAACCAAGCAATTGCAAGGCCTCACTTTTTCTCCCAGGGCATATGGGTGGTGTAATATCTTGTATAACTAATTGACAAAATAACAGTGTTCGTGTACATTAAGCTACATTTGCCATTGTGTTTAAAGAAATTAAAATGTTTTCTGAGAAGATTTTTAAAAGTCCAAGGTATCAAGTATGTGAAGAAAACATCGTTTTATCTTAAAACATTTTAAAAGGAAAGTTGTGTATGTACTGACAAGCCATGGAACCCTACTTACTGAGCTTGAAATCGTTCCACAAATTTCCACGGCAAATCTGATTGCTATGGCTTGAACATTTCTCGTTTTTACTCTTTTTCTCATTTCACAAACTTTGCCAGTCTCAGAGATCTGCTTGGAAACTCACTGTGCTAATAGGCAGAGTTGGCCTTTCCTTGCTTCTCTCCGAGTAGCCCATCCTGAAACACTGACCTTTTAGTTTAATAACAGTTTTATTTGAGAAAATGTTCAGATCCTGAGAGCTGAAAAGAGTGTTTTCCGAAAGGCCATTTTAAATAGTGGTCTCCAAATGGTGTATCTTTTCCCTTATGCACTTAGATCAGACCTATCAGAAGAAATGTATTGTTGCTTTCTGTATTCTATTGATTTAAAAACAAATAACATGAAGCTTAGATTTGCTCAAAACCCATTACCACACTGGTTTATTTTCCTGCCTATGCTTTGCTTTGCTATTTTAGATTTTAAACTCTTCATGCTAGGTCATGTTTTATCTTTTGTTATTTTAAATTCTCCACTGTAGCTAAGGTAATTTTTCATCTGTGACCTTGGACTTGAGACCCAAGAGTTGTAATTTCTTCCCCCTTTTACTGGAAATTGCTAGGGCATTAGAAAGTCAGCCGTGCCCTGGTCCCTTTGTGCAGTAGCTGGGTAGCGAGAGGTGCCAGGTCAGCGAGCCCCCTCAGGCGTGGCGGTGGGAGTTTTCCTGCCCTGTCCATTGCTGGTGCTTTCCTTTTCCCTCCTTCTCCTGCTGCTCATGGCTTACTTAGATGACACCCAGGTCTCTGCACCTGTGCTTCAGCTTACCGCATGGCCGAGTGGCAGGGCTATGAGAGGCGGAAGGGGCTACAGAAAGAACAGACAAGTCTCCAAGCTACATTTTTTTCTTCCTGCATCACTGCTTCTCTGCTGTCTCCTCTGCGGATCACTCCCAACATCCAGCTGGTCACCATTTGGTAATAGAGTTCTTCCCTCCCTTCCAGGCTGGTCTTCTCAATAGTAGAAAGCTCACTGCTAATTTTGGCGTTTCCGCTGGTAGGAAGGCCCAGTGTAAGAGGCATAAATGCATTGTGAAAATGTGAGACCGTTTCATCAGCTTGCTTAGAAAACTGGTCTCATTGCTTCCTACCTAGACCTGGTAATATACCGAGGTCTTACAGAAGTATGTAAAAGAAGAAAACCAGATCCGTTGCCATCGAGTTGATTCCAACTCATAGCGACCCCATGCGACAGGGTAGAACTGCCCCATAGGGTTTTCTTGGCTGTAATCTTTACAGAAGCAGATTGCCGGGCATTTCTTCTGCATTGCTGCTGGATGGGTTTGAACAGCCAACCTTTAGTAGTCAAGTGCAAGCCATTTATGCCACCCAGGGGGTTCTGAGTTTCCAGATAGTGATGAACTTTTGTCTGAGAAAAATTTTACTGTGTTAATTTGAAACAATCTAGGGGAAGCAGCATGATTTTCCATATATAGATTGATGGCGTGTTTATGCTGAGTATAGTTTGTTAGGAGCCCTGGTGGTGCAGTGGTTAAGAGCTCTGCTGGTAACCAAAAGGTCAGCAGTTCGAACCCACCAGCAGCTCCTTGGAAACCCTATGGGGCAGTTCTACCCTGTCTTCTTGGGTCGCTATGAGTCGGAATCGACGGCAACGGGTTTTGAGTTTACAGTTTGTTAAACTTCAGAGGACAGTTTGATCAAGTGGTAATATTTGTGATAAATATTCGTTTCATTTATGAAATCCTTTCAATTTTTGCCACTTAATGGAGCTGTAGGCTGTGTACAGCTTGAAAAAATTTAGTGTCACATTGGCTCTGTTGTTTATGAAAAGTAGGTGAAGATGTGGAAGCCATCACCTTGTGGAGTGCAACACCTAGAATTCACAGCAGCCAGGCACCCAGGAGGACTGGCCAACCCAGTTTCTGGATGAGGAAACCAGCGCTTGGGAGGTTGACTAATTTATCTGAAGTCTGTGTTGTTGGGTGCCGTGGAGTCGTTTTCTTTCTCTTAGCATGTATACTGTTTTCAAGATTTGTCCATGCTGTAGCATGTACCGAACTTCATTCTTTTTTATTGTCAAAAAATACTTCATTGTATGGATATTCCATATTTTGTTTATCCATTTATCAGTTGATGGGCATTTAGGTTGTCTCTACTTTTAGAATATTACGAATAATGCTGCTGTGAACATTCGCGTGCAAGTTTTTCTATAGACATATGTTTTAAATTTCCTTGAGTACATACTTAGGAGTGAAATTGCTAGATAATATAACTACTTTTAGCGTTTTAAGGAATTGCTTTTTCCAAGCCATTTTACATTTTCACCAGCAACTTATGAGGGTTCCAATTTCTCTCCATTGTTGCCCATACTTGTTATTGTTTGACTTATTATAGTGGGTGTGAAGTTGTACCTCATTGTGGTTTTGATTTGCCTTTCCCTAATGACTGACGATGCTGAGCAACTTTTCATGTCCTTATTGGCCATTTCTGTATCTTCTTTTGGAGCCCTGGTGGTGCAGTGGTTAAGAGCTCAGCTGCTAACCAAAAGGTCGGCAGTTAGAATCTACCAGCTGTTCCTTGGAAACCCTATGGGACATTTCTACTCTGTCCTATAGGATCACTATGAGTCGAAATCAACTCGACAGCAATGGGTATATCTTCTTTGGAGAAATACCTATTTAAATCATTTGCTCATTGTGTTTTTTGCTTTTTTACTGTTGAGTTATAAGAGTTCTTTACAAGTCTGGATACAAGTCCCTTGTTAACTATAAGGGACTATATGATTTGCTGTATATTTTTTCTTATTTGGATTGTCTTTTCACTTTTTTGATGGTGTCTTTTAATGCTGTTGTTGTTTTCTGATAAGCCCATCACTAAAACATCCTTAAGACTTTCATGTATCTTCTTTGTTATTGTCCATTGTCAGATAAATATTTAAAGAGGTTTTTGCTTATTGTAATTCTTTTCTTTGCCTATGCCCTGAGGCAAAAACTGTTGCCATGCAGTCGATTCCAACTCATAGGGAGCCTGTAGGACAGAGTAGAACTGCCCCAGTGGATTTCCAAGGAGCGGCTGGTGGATTCAGACTGCTGACCTCATAGTAGCAGCCTGAGCTCTTAACCGCTGCGCTAGCAGCGCAGTTGAAATGTTGGGGTCATCAGATAATGTGTCCTCCCCCCGCCCCCCGAAGCAGAGACGGTGCTGGCTAGTTTCCCCTCTAATAGGCTCAACCATGGGAAATAATAGTTAGAGTTGTGTGCATTCCTAGAGTCTCCTAAGAGTTTCTGGTGCTTTCTTTCTCATAATTTTGGGTAGTGGGTTTCTAGTAATGAAGAATTAGTCTCTGCTCATTTCTCATGGAAGGCTCTACAGGAAGTATATAAAATTTGCCCATTTTATTTGTCATTATAGCTGTAAGAATCTTTATAAAGCATATCATACAGAACCTTCTAATTGGAAACACCAGATGTTTCAAATCAAGTCACTGGGTATTTAGAATACTCCAGCCGTGTTCTCAGCTCTGCTCTGTGTCTCTCTCTAGTTGTTGGCGCTTGAATTTCAATTACACGTATTAAAAAAAAAAAAGTTCTAAAATGGTTGTCTTTTCTCTCATTTTTTTCTCATAACTCATGGGAAAATACGTATAAATACAAATGATTTTCTCTCTGTAATAAATGATTTTATTAAATGCTTAATTATCAAAGTGGCAAGAGTTGAGCGTCATTTTCCCTCCTAAAGTCCCTTCCTTAAGCCTGTCCTCCACTTACTTGTGATTGTCACAGTTTAATGATAGGACATCATTTTAAAGAATTCGTACTTAATGGCTCAGTCCCCACTGGGCAGTGAGCAGCTCCTTGAGTTTATTATAAATTTTGGCAGATGTAGAAATTTCTAGGTCACCAGGGAAGTCTTGATTAAATTACTCCTGAAATGCACTAATTGATCTTTTCCATAGCGCTTAGGTGGTTCCAAGGAGAGGCTGACCACCTAGTAGAACTTGGCCTGTTAAATCTAGTCTCAGCTTTACTTTCTGGATTATTTTGTTTGTTTATTTTTTAAGAAGTCATTTATTTTATCTCCTCCTCCTCTTTATTGATTCTAGTTTCTGAAGAAGAACTGAAAAGAAGAGTAGCCGAGGAGCTGGCATTGGAGCAAGCTAAGAAAGAATCTGAAAAGCAAAAACAGTGAGTTTTGTGGTATCTCAGTGATATTTTGGTGGGCTGCTCAAATTTATCAAATATTTTTAGAGAAGAATGATTGTAATAAGACTCATTATTTGTATGTGTCTGAGCTTTTGAATGTGCTAAATATAGGAGTTTGGCCATTTTTGGATTTGGGTTGTACCATTAAAGCCCTGTGTTGCTTTCTTCTCAAACTTCAACGTAAATTACCGTTATATCTCTTGTATAGGTTTTAATGGCATAAATACTAAGGTCTGTTTTCTCCATATGTGAAAAGTGGTTCTTGAGGAGTCTCTAGGCATTTTCTCGGGTTAGTTTCTTTGGATGAGTGTATTTATGATATGATAGAAAATGGATATTAAGGTAAACAGTGTTGTAATCAATGATGAATGTCATGTCATACATAATGCCTGGATTAACAAATCACACTAATTAGTAATATATACTCACTTAAAAAAATTGACATTACAGAAATATGTTAAGGTCTAATCAAAGTCCTCCATAATTCCATCCTCTGGAGATAATCACTCTTTAACCGTATTTTATTCCTCTGGATTTTTTTTTCTATGTTGTAATTGTAACTTTTATGTTGTTATTGTAATTACTAGTACTAGTACTACTAATAACAGCCAAAAGAATGTTCACTGAAATGCTTTTGTAGTAGTAGAAACCTGGAAGCAACCCAGATCACATCCTAGGGGCCTGGATGAATGTGTTATGGTACTCGCCTACCATGGAATACCAGACAGTCAGGTACATCCTTATGTGCTGATTTGAGAAGATGTTGAAGAGATAGGATCTGAAAAAAAAAAAACTTACAAAAAAGTGTAGATAATTTTTTTTTAAGTATAGACTTAAAGTATATACTTATTCATAAAAATATGTGGATACATTTTAATCTAAGATAAAGTCAAGTGTGTCCCATCTGTGCTATTTCTGAAATTTGCATATAGCACAGAGCATTATAATGTTATGATTATGTGTATATCATTCTATGGGGAGCACCAGACACATGCCTTCCAGCGAGTAGATGCTCAGTACATGCTGGTCTCTGTTTTACTGCCGCACTATTTTGCTTGACAGAGCGAAGTGTAACCAATCTTTGAACCTGGATTCTAGTCCTCACTGGTTATACGACCTTCAGCATGAAATTTAACCTCTTTGGACCTTAAATATTTTATCTCTAAAGTGAGAGGGTTTGAAAACCATTCTCTTTTGACAAATGCTATGCTAACGTCAGTTTGCATGAAACCTGTGGGGCAGAATCTGAGGTTTAGGTTAGGACCGCCATCTTCTCATGAACAGAGGAGGTGCGTGGCCTAAGGTTTTAAAGTCAGAATGTAATTTGTGCAGCTAAAAGTGTCGGCGTGTATTTCAGTTGTTTCCCACGTAGCACTGTATAGTTACTTAATTGTGTTAGGTTGATGGAGTGTGTTATTAGATAGTGAAGTTCAACTAGTCAAAAAAAGAAATTTATTATTATTTTTTGGCCTTCTTTCTTCCCTTATGGCGCAGACTTTTGCTACAGTTACACTCACTATGATTCTTTTTTTTTTTTTTCTTTCATTATTCAACTCCCATTTGCTCTGCCTTGGTCTGTGAAGGGTAAAGGGTAGACGAGATGAATGAAAGGTGCTAGTGAGAGCCAGTTTCATATCTCATGTGGACTGGAGTTGGCAGCCTAGCTGTAACCTGGACAAATGACTATTGATAAAGAATTTATTTTCTGTCACCTTTAAGGAGAGCAGAGGGTGGTACAACCTTTTTATTATTTTTCCTGTAAAAACAAAAATGTTGTACTTGAAGCTTTCTTCTTGATAACTTCAGCTGTCAAATCTTGGCAAAAAGTGTGTGTTCATCTATATGATAGTTCTTAGAAGAATCAGTAGCTTTTTTTTCTTTTTTCTTTCCTACTAGCAAAGAAGCTTTAGAAAAAGCATTAGGAAGGTTTTATGTGCAGTGTTTTCAAACCACTTTTTGGAATCACAAAGCATTATACATTACTATATCTGTTGACGCAGTTGAATAAAGCCTTGTAAGCAGTTTGGAAAATAGTTCTTCCTGCTTTTACACTGTCACTTGTCCATGGCCTGCTTACCAAGTCTCTGTTCTCACCCCAAGTGCTCACAAAACTTTAGGCCAGTCCTCAAGTCCTAAAGATCCCAGACTTGGGCTCTCATACATGTAAGGAACCAGTCTGTTCAAAAAAGACTTTGTAAATAACTTTGATCATTATATTTTTCTTTATAAAATATTCATTTTATGGTTTAATCTTTATCTTATGGACACTTTTAAGCACATTAAAAAATAGAGTACAGTGAACCTCCACGACCTGTTACACAGTTTTGGCAATTCTTGTTTCAACTATACCCCACGTCACTCTACCCATCCCCCCTGCCCCTTCTATCATATCATTTAACCTCGATATTTTATAATAAAAATGAGGTAGATGTGATAGTACTCTTAGTGCTAAGGAGAGACAGTAAAGTTCTCAACTGGCTGGCCAAGGTTGTGGCACCAGGCACTTTCTGCAGTGTCTCTACCAGGCTGGCTTAAATAAGGACTCTGTTTTAATTCGGCTTTGGTTGCAAGACCGAATTTTGCTCTGGCTCACTTAGGAAGCAGGGACATTTCCAGAAGCATATTTGACAGCTCAGAAGAATCAAAGGGAAACTTGAGGACCATTAGCTGGGAAAGAACTACCTGTCACGAAAGCTGTCCATAGCGGGAAGAAGTCGTTCCCCAAAGGACACCAGGAGGAGGGTTCCATGACGGGGGGTATGGATGGCGAGTGGCTGGATTTCATTGAATTGAAGATGCCGTGGATTTTAGGAAGGCTTGCATTTGATGTACTACGAAGAAAAAATTGCTGCAGATTAAATTATGACACAATCCTTTCTTATCTCTTAGAAGTTCATTAAGAATTATTTTGAATTTTTAAAAAATGTATCATTTGTGTATTAACAGAAAGGAAAATATAAGCAAAACAAATTGGTTAAGGCAGTGGTTCTCAGCCGGGGGTGATTCTGTCTGCCCCTACCAAGGGTTCACTTGGCAATGTCTGGAGACGTTTTAGATTGTCACAACTTGGTGGGTATTACCGGCTTCTAGTGGGTAGAGGCCAGGAGTGCTGCTAAACATCCTATAATGCACAGGACAGCCCCCCGCACAACCAAGAATTATCTGGCTCAAAATGTCAGTAGGGCGGATGGTGAAAAACCCTGGGTTAAGGTACTCTTAAAAACCTCTGCGCATTGGGTCTAATGCTTCTGAATCACTTATTGTTTTTCTACACAGTATCACATTCTGTGCCATGAAAAGCTTGGCGAAACAGCATTGCTTAAAAGATGCCTCCGCTGTTGTTCCCGGGATTTTTCCAAGCTGCCGACAGCAGTTCTGCACGTTACGATGCTCACGTGCAGACGATGACAACCGGGCAGGACTGTCGCCTGGCAGGCAGCAATTGAAAGATGCTGTCAGTCATGTGAAAACGTGAAAGCGTATGCATCTTAGAACTGATGAAATGCAGCCCCTGTACACTCCAGACTAGGAAATCTTTCGGATTGGAAATGGCTCCTGGAGGGTCTTGTCTCTCCTCCGCCTAAAGCAGAAGCCCTGTTACGGAATCTCTGGCAGGTAGTGCTTTCCACAGTTAGACCCCATTCAGAATCAGTTAAACTGAAGAAAGTTCATTAGACTGTTTAAAATTTACCCAAACTCCTTTAAATCTCCACTCTCTTAAATCCAAAAATGCTGACATGGCATCATTAAAAGTTGCCTTAGAGAAGGTTGTTTACTCGAGCTGCAGTGATGATGCCGCTAATTGGAAGCACTGTGATCGTATATGTTGTATTCTGCTCATTTGTTAAAAACATCTCCACACGGACTCTCAATTTAATTCATCTTAGATCTGATCCTGTTTTATGGGAATCTTGAGTGATTTGCTTAGTTAACAGAATCATGCAAAAAAAAAAAAATCACAGATACATTAATATTCAGAATCTTAGTATACACATCAAGCTTGTTGGGTCTAATTTGGAATCGTGGTTTTGCTCATCAGAACGTCTAATGGACAGAATAGCTGTAGCCGCTCAGCGTACTGGGAGCCCGGAATACATGCCTGTGGCAGCAGTCTGGCTTTGTCGGGATGCAGTATCACCTGTTTCGGATTATAGCTGACCTTGTGTTGTAACTATAGCAGACCAATCTAGCCAGGACACAGTGTGCTACAGTGTTGAGTATAAACTTTTAAAACGTGATTTACTTCTTGCCTGTGCTCTACCTCTGAAAATCAGCCTCTGACAGCAAGAAAAATGTGACTACTTCTGACCTCTGATCTTTGAGATTTGAATTTCACCTCTTAACCTATAATGGCAAGTTAGAGTGTTTCAGTTTTAATAACCTTTCTTCAAGAAATCAAGAAGAAAGGCAATAGATTATTGATGTTGTAACAAGCTGTACACCAACTAAAAATATTTGCTGTTTTTTAGGTGGACTTCAGTTGAGAGTCTTCCCGACTTTTAATTACTTGGAAAATTACATTAGATTTGAGAGGCTTAAAATAATTAATTTGGCTTAATTAATGAGTCATAAATTTTATCAGATATCTGGGTAAGTTAGGGTATTAAAAAAAAAACAACAACCAAACCCATTGCTATCTAGTCGATTCCAACTCAGAGCTACCCTGTGTGGTGGAATAGAGCTACCAAGTGCATTACTGCTTATGCCTCCCAGGGACTTCATAAACATTCTACATTATATTAAAAACAAAAACAGAAAACAAATTATACCTTTAAAATCAGACATTAAAAAAGGAGTACCTATTGCTGTCAAGTCAGTTCTGACTCATAGCAACCCTACAGGACAGTAGAACTGCCCTGTAGGGTTTCCAGGGAGTGGCTGTTGGATTTGAACTGCTGACCTTTTGGTTAGCAGCCGTAGCTCTTAACCACTGCACCACCAGGGCTTCAAAATCAGACGTTAGGACTATATATCATATATATATATATATATATATAGCAGTGTGTATCAGAGACTATAGATACTTGTCCTGTGAGTCTGTTTTAATTTAGCATAGTGTTGAACACTGTTTTCCTACTGTAGACCCAAATTACAAAGCTGTTATAAAATTACATACATTCAACCTGCATATAATTTTTAGGTATACAGTAATCAAAAAGCAATTTCCAGGGGACAGGAACTGTTGGTACTAATATTTATTAAGCCTCGCCTCAACGGCCGCGGGTTTGGGTTTGGATTTATTGTAAAAGCGTGGTTTGGAAGTGACCTCAGGAGAGGTCAGCAGTCAGTGTCTGGGTACGGCAGCCACAGCTTTCACGGGCAGACAAGCTCCACTTCTCTTACAGATGCTACCTGTTGCCATTGAGTCAATTCTGACTCATAGCGACCCTATAGGACAGAGTAGAGCTGCCCCATAGGGTGTCCAAGGCTGTAATCTTTCTGGAAGCAGACTGCCACATCTTTCTCCCATGAAGCGGCTGGTGGGTTTGAACAGCTGACCTTTCAGTTTGCAGCCAAGTGCTTATCCACTGTGCCACCAGGACTCCCTTTACAAATGCTAGCAAAGAAAAAATTACAGCAGTTTGAGTTGTAACCCTTTTCAGTGACTCACCGTATGTCCAGTTGTCAGCTGCACCCCGCTGCCCTGATGCGAGCGAATTTCCCAGAGTGTGGCATCATTGGAGGCAGTGAACAGTTCATTGGCATAATCTACAAAATATTCCTTTATTGCTCTAAGATTTAAGAGATTCTTCTGTAGTGTAACAAAGTCAGTATTTTAGATTTATTTTTCTTATTAACCCCATTTTTGCCCTGATGTTTTCTCCTTGCTCGTTGCTTTACTGTTGTTCTACACTCGTATGTCTCCATTCACTTAAAAGTAGTTCAGGACCTAGCAGTTCTGAATGTAATGGGAAGGTCCCATTGTAGCCCCCTGATAGTTTTCAGTGGGCAGTCATTGCAAGGGCTGTTTGCACTAAGCGTTGAAACTGCGTGCCATCAGCTATGTTCATCTTTTTTGTTCAAGTGGCACTTTTCCGTTTAATAGAGACAACTGCTTTCTATAACCGGCAACTCTAGAAGGTTGGATTATCCAGTCTGTGTTTTATTCACATCTTTTTACTTCTTTTTTCCCAAATCCGATTTCCTTTCTTATTGATGCTACGCTGTTGTGGAATCCTACCCTGAATTCTGTTTGATAAGCTGTTTTTACACGGTAGGAAGATCAAACCCGGAAAACCAGAATCCATCAAGCGTGCTAGAGAAATCTGTAACTTTTTTACTATCAGTAATAGCGGCAGTGACGCTCGGCCACTTCTTGTTCGAATGTTTCGTCTGACAGTGAAACTGCATTTTCTCTCATGAAGCATAGTATTTGAAGTAGTTTGTGCCAGAGTTGGTTTCTGCATTTGGAAGTTTCTAGAAATTGCTCCGTGAGTGTTTGTTAGTTGTTAGTTGTCCTTGCTGATGTTTCTCTACTACCTGGAACAATCCAGCTTTTTCTTTTTTGGGGGAGTGAGTTGTAATGTGCTCTGTAAGTCATTAATTATTCCTTACATACAGGAGCCTTGGTGGTGTAGTGGTTAAGTGCTTGACTGCTAACCCAAAGGTTGGTGATTTGAACCTACTAGCTGCTCCGCGGGAGAGAGATGTGGCAGTTGGCTTCCATAAAGATTACAGCCTTGGAAACCCTATGGGGCAGTTCTACTTTGTCCTATAGGGTTGCTATAAGTTGGAATCGACTCGATGGCAATAGGTTTGGTTTTTGGTTTATGTTGTAATGTACTCTGTGAGGCATTTATTATTCCTTACATAAACCATCATTGCTTATTGTCAGCATTGTCACTGTTCTGTAAAAATAGATGACTGAGATAGACAGGTAAAGCTTCTCAGTCAGCAGCAGAACCAGGATTTGACTTGGACTACCACCGAGCCCTGCCCGGTCTGTCACTGAGGCCATGAATCATCCTTTCTCATAAACATTTATTCAAAGGAAGCTCAACATGGAGTGCCATGTAAGACAAATCTAAGCACCGTTCTGGTTGTTGGGAGGATGGGGCACCCAGAACTCTGTGAGCCTTTCCCCGTTCTCCTTCGTGGAGGCCTGGGAATCAGCCCCGCAGGCCCTAATGATAATGGAGGCGTAGTTTGAGAAGCCTCTGGTTAGGATCATTTTCCTTTCAAATTTGGGCACTTTGTATATGAGGGGATGTACTTTTCTAGTCCAAGTAGCATTTGTTGAGTAAACTCAGTTCCGTTTCTGCTTTAGAAAGTGGGTGGGAAGTGGCCTGAGGTTCACTTCCTTGAGTCTAGAAATCCAGATTTAAGGGCAGTGGCTGCGTAGGCTGGACCTCGGCCTGGCTGCACCCTCCGTCCTGGGCCTTCGGGAAGCCATCTGCTCGTCCTGGTGGCCATGCTGTGTAGAGTATGTGAGGCCCTTCCACACAGGCAGTTCACTCTGGAAAAGGTGGAGGAGCATACAGAGGGGGTTCCCCCCTTTCCTCTCCATCTTAATAGTTTTACCAGTAGAGCCTTTGGCTGAAAAGGAGTGTGGGCAACATAGATCTATCTAAATGAAATGTAAATTTTATCCCAGGATTATACTGTTTCCCAACATTGGCAGAATTCTGTTCAAGTAGTAGTCCTCCCCTTTTTTCCTGGATAGAGAAAGTAGTTAAAAAGAGAGTAGCTCATCTCAAGTTTCTTTTAAATATTTTATTGACAGAAGAACCCTTATTCTTTTGCATCCCATTCTTACCCAAAAGCAGAAATTGCTTGTCTTTGGTGAAACTTTCCTCACAATGTATGGATGACATAAACATAGAATATGCACACTGGGGAGACATATTATCTGTTAGGAAAACCATTTCAAGAGTACAGGGCTCATATGCCCAACTAAAATGGAAAAAGTTTTAAAAATAAAGGTTATCTTGTGTCCATTGGGTGCCTAGCACTGTTCTAAGCACTTTATATGCTTTAAATCATTTTATCCTCACAGCTCTCCTATTAGGTAGATATCATTATCACTACTTAATAAATGAGGAGTGGGGGCAGTGGTTGTCCAGTGGTAGAATTCTTGCCTTCCGTGGGAGAGACCTGGGTTCAGTTCCTGGCCAGTGCACCTCATGCGCAGCCACCACCTATCTGTCAGTGGAGGCTTGTTGTTATGATGATAGACAGGGTTCAGTGGAGCTTCCAGACTAAGGTGGACCAGGAGGAAAGGCCTAGTGAGCTACTGCCAAAATTCAGCTGATGAAAACCCTGTGGATCACAATGGTCCGATCCACAGCCGATCACGGGGGTGGCACAGGACTGGGTAGCATTTAGTTCCGTTGTGCATGGGGTCGCCATGAGTCGGGGCCTACTTGACGGCAGCTAACAACCACACCATACATGTGGAAACTGAGAGGCTAAGTGACTTTCCCAAGGCCGTTTCTAGTAAGTGGTAGGCTGGGATTTGAACCCAAGTCTCTGCCAAGTTCATGCACTGAACCACCACTCAGTACTGCCTTTCCCTGAATGCAGGGAACACCTTCTTTCAATTTCTACATTTGCTGTTGTGGAAAGGAGTCACAAGTACTTACTTGGATTTTCTTCTCTAAACGATTAGTAAATAAAAGGTCTCTTGAAAATGACCTCTCTGTGTGCCTCTGGGGATCAGATCTGGGCAGCTGCTCTGTAGGATATTATCTTAGGACAAAAATCTTTTGAGAATTTGTCTCTAAAGTGAATATTCTCTTTTACTTAGGCTGCGCCTTACCATTCAATACTGAGTTTTTACACAGATAACGTATGGGTCATACATTGTTTGGCAACCGCACCCTCTGCCCCCCTAGTATTTTCGTAATCGAGCTCTGCTAATTTTTCTTTTAGCACCAAGTAAAAAAATTAGCATAGCAGGTTACAGAACTACCTGGGGTGGGGGAGGGGGAGGGCGCGCCATTGATGAAGAAAAGCGCAGTGTGGGAATTATTTGCGTAAAAACATGGCAACTTGTTTGTGTGCCCATTGTCAGTGATTGTGGCGATTTGAATTTCTTGTTAGGATAACAATAAAGCATTTTTAAGTGGAGGATCAGGATAGTTTTCTTAATAGCACAACAGGGATTTGTGGAAGTCGATGGTACCCACCTCTGTGAACTCTAAAGATGAATATCTGCTTCTGGTCAGGGAGGCACACATGTGCTCCCTAGGGTTCTGCCAAATTCAATGGAGCAACTTGGACACCTTCCATGGCGGAGGAATCCATACCTTCAACCTTGCTCCAGGGCTCAGGAAGCAGTGAAGAGATGCCAGGTTTGCTTTAATAGATGATTGTGAAGCAACATTATTTAGCTTTTCTCCATCTATGATCTATGTTCTTCTCTGGACTTTCTTTTTTTTTTGACTCATTCTAAGTTACTTTATATTGCCTGTGTTGCTTGATGTGTTGGGTTTTGGGTTTGTAGTGTTGATTGCTACTATTTATGTATCTTTTGTATGATAGTCAAAGTATTTTTTTAAGTCATCACATTCGGTCTACAAACTTCTGTGTTTTAAAGTCAATTTAAAAAAATTAGCTGCTGGGACATCTTTCCTTTAGAACTAGAATATTGAATGCTTCCATTGAAATATTGTACAACTAGCACGGGGCAATTTATTAGTTATATACTATTTATAGTTGCTTCCTTACATTTAGACTATCTTACTCCTCTAGACATAAGCCGTTTTACTTGGAACATTTTTCAAGTTGTCCCATTAAAATGATTTTAGTATGACTTTCATGTCAGTATCAAGTATAAAAATAGAGGTTAACCATGTAAATGTTTCAATTAAGGCTTTAAAACTGAACTGTTTCACAACTTCTCATATTGAATCTTCTTTACTTCCTGGTACTATGTTGTCAGTACTAACTAGATTAAAACAAAAATCTCTTTAACAATCATAAATTTCAATGATATTTTGCTTTCCTGCTTTCCTGATGGGGTTGATGGATTAAAAGCAAACCAAGTCAAAACAAAACCCAGACAGTCAACTGAAGCCACCAATTTACCGTGGAAAATGCCTGTTCATTAAAAAACCATTATCCAACAGAGTTTCTGCAACAATTTTGTTATTTCTACAGCACCAGGTAGGTTTACACAGAAAGGGCAGTCCTCAAACTACTGGAAATGTGGATAATGTTGATATGTAAAACAAAAATGTGCAGAAGAAATAGATACTTACTGAAGAGATTCAGGTTGTACAGAAGCATAAAATATTAGTCATCTTCCACTCCCCCGCCCCCTTTAAAATCACTCACATTCAAACCCCAGGGGAAATATATTCTTAGTGTTATAGTTTTTTTTGTTTTTAAATTAAACAAAATGAGGTTTAGCTAATAATGTCTATAAGTTCCTTTAAAAAAAAAACACACACACACAAAAACTCAACCACATGTTGTGGCCCTTTTCCCATGTCAGTATTTGTAGGTCTCAAATGGACTTTGTTGTTAGGTGCCGTCGAGTCGGTTCTGACTCATAGCCACCCTGTGTACAGTACAGCAAAACACTGCCTGATCCTGCACCATTCTCACAGTCGTCATGCTTGAGCCCATTGTTGCAGCCACTGTGTCAGTCCATCTCCTTGAGGGTCTTCCTCTTTTTTGCTGACCCTCTACTTTACCAATCATGATGTACTTTTCCAGGGACTGGTCCCTGATGATAACATGTCCAAAGTATGTGAGACAAAGTCTCACCATCCTTGCTTCTAAGGAGGATTCTGTCTGTACTTCTTCCAAGACAGGTTTGTTCATTCTTCTGGCAGTCCATGGTATGTTCCGTATTCTTCACCAACACCATAATGCAGAGGCGTCAGTTCTTCTTCAGTCTTCCTTATTCATTGTCCAGCTTTCACATACATATGAAGTGATTGAAAATACCACGGCTTAAGTTGGGCACGCCTTAATGCTCAAAGTGACGTCTTTGCTTTTCAATACTTTATAGACTTAGATATGCTAATATATGCCATTAAAAAAGACTTTACCCAAGAAAATGAATACTAACAATAGTAATAATAATAGTAGCTAACAGATTTTAAACCCTTGCTTTGTCTCCAGCCCTGGTCCGAGCATTTTACACATAATCCTCACAAGAACCCTCTGAGGTAGGTTCTCCTCTTCTGGTATCCTCATATCATAGATGAGGTGAGTGAAACAATTGCTTGCAGTCACATAGTCAGAAAGCAGAAGCGTTGGGATTTGAACCCAGGTGTTCTGGCACCTGAAACCACACTCATCATCACCCTACAAGACTGCATCTCAGGCTAAATTACTTTTGGCTCCAACAGTGATGTTACCTATTGTATACCTGTTTGAATGTTCTAGCTGAGGCTCTTTTGATGTGGTTTACTGAAAGCTGAGTTTTTGGGGTTTCAGCACAGTCAACTTTGCCTTTAGTATGGAACTCATTAAACAAGAAATTTAGTTTTAAAAGGAATTTGCAAATGAAAGGACTTTCTTTGGTGTTTTTGTTTTTTTTTAATTCACATGACTATGTTTTGAAATAAAACTGTCAAAATACTGTCAAATAGTAGGTGAAAATTAATATTTCTGTAGATTTTGCTGTAATCTATTAGAAAGTGTGTATTTCTTTATGAATACATCTGTCAACTATACAACTTAATTTTTATAGATTTAAAGAAAAGAAACCCAAACCATTATCCAACTGAGTTTCTGTAACGTTTGTTATTTGTACAACTCCAAGTACGTTTGACTTAGAAAGCTCTTTCTTCAAACTACTGAAAATGTGGATAATGTGGGTCTAACAAAAGTCGAGAGTAGCACCAGAATTTTGATTACTGGTTATTTTTCCTCTCCCTCTTCCAGTTAATCAGCCCTGGTGCCTCTGCTTTTGTAATCTATTACAAATCCAATACCTCTCACCATCTTCATCCTTAACTTAGTCTAAGCCAGTGGTTCTCAACCAGGGGCGATTTTGCTCCCCATGGGACATTTGGCCATGTCTGAGGACATTTTGGGGGTGGGGGGGCGCAACTTGAGGATGCTACTGCTATCTCACGTGGAGATGCTGGGGATGCTGCTGACCATCCTGCAATGCAAAATTGGTCCTCCCACAACCAGGAGTCGTCTGGTCCAATGCAGAGGTTGAGAAACTCGTCTAAGCTGTTATCATTCGTTCCTTGTACTATTAGAAAGTCCCCATGCAGGAGACCACAAGTGTCCCCTAGATTCTGTTTTTCACAAAGCAGTGTCAGCCTGCTTATACAAATATATTTGAATCATGTCAACTTTTTTTGCTTAAAACTTTCTGATGGCTTCTCATTGGATTTAGTGTAAAGTCCAAACCCTTTACCTTGACCCAGAAGGCCTCTGCTGACCCTCACTCTCATACCTCATCTCCTACCGTGCTTTCATGGAATGCTGCAGCCACATTGGCTGCTGGATCTGTTCGTGCCTAAGGCTATTTGTCTAGAATAGTTGTACCCAGAGTTATGTGGCTGGCTCCCCTTTACCATCCAGCGCCTGCTCAGACAACCCAGGGGAGACACTATCCCTGATGACTTTATCTAAAATAACCATTCTTTCTCTCCTCGCCTCTCACCTTAGCTGTTCTTTCCCACTGTGTTTCTTCAACACAGTTACATGTTTTTCTCCTCCACTGGAATAGAAAGTTCTATGAGGGCAGAGCTCACTGTCTGGCATATAGCAGGTGCCAAAAGGAAGGAGTTGCTAAGTTACAATAATATTTTACTGCTGTGGCTAAGTAGATTAAAATAGGATAGAGTTTGTTCAAATGGGTAAAGAAGCATGGAAATCATCATATGACAACAGTGACTACCGTTGGATGAGTGCCTACCGTGTGCCAGGTGCTCTGCTGGTAGCTAATAAGATGATGCCCCTCACGTTCCCCCTGGGATCCGAGGCTGGCTGACCTCCAAAACAGGGAGCACGTGGATGTGGTAGCTCTACTCTCTATGGATTTGCTTTGCAATCAGGAAGCAGTCAGAGGTTAAGTACCTTGCCTGAGTCTGTGCCACTGACAAAAGGCAGCCTGAGGATTCCAATCCTGCTGCCTTTTGCCTTTCGCAAGATGTCCATGTCAGCTTTCATGCTTCTTAGGAAACAGCTGCGATTCATGTCTTCCCTCTGAGTGGGCTTAGCTGGCTTTCATTTTTCGCTATGGGGACTACATTTATAAGTCCACCACTACCACCAGGTGCTGTTGAGCCAGTTCCCACTCATGGCGACCCCATGTGTGTCAATGTAGAACTGTGCTCCGTATGGTTTTCAAGAGCTGATTTTTCAGAAGTAGATTACCAGTCCTTTCTCCCAGGGAGCCTCTGGGTGGACTTGAACCTCCTACCTTTTGGTTAGCAACTGAATGTGATAACTGTTCGCACCACCCAGAGACTCCTTTATAACTCCAGGGCCAGTAATTTCTTTGGTTTCAGGTGACTTGGGCAAACATGATCTACTTTCCCACCGTGTACTGAGACCATTACTTAGTTTGCTTTCCTTTTAGTGAGCGTTACCTAAAAATGAAAACGTGACACCGTGAGCACGTAGTCTAGGCTTGTAAGTCTTTGCGCCTTGATTGAGGGCACAGAAGTCGGGAAGTCTCTGTATCCCCTGGACATATACTCTCTGATTTGTCTCCACGAACCTTGTCAAAGGGATTCCAGCTTTCCTTTGAACAGTTGGTGCTTTATGTTCAAGAGGAGCCTAGAGTAACATGGATTTATGGTCTCTGGAAAATTTGCACCCTTCTCCTGTTTCGGTGATGAGATTTTTGCTGAAACCTGAGAGATCATCTCGTCCCTTGTTCTGCTCTCCTCATAGGACCCGGGGCCCACTCACGGCGCCATGGGGGGTAAAAGTCCAACGTGGGCCATGATGGCAGTTGTTCTGCGTTTCAGCGTGTTCCTGTAGATTTTCTTAGTTGAACATTGTCTTGTGCTTCATGCCCTCCTGTATCTATCCTCCCACTACCTGGAAACGTGTTATTATTTTTTTTTCCTTGTTGATTTTTTGTTTTTTCATTTCCCAGCCACTTGTCATAGAAATGGCACTCACTCAGCAAACCCAGCTGTAGACAGCCTTTTGAAGACAAGAACAACAAATTCACCAGTCAGGGAACAAAGCAAGAGAAAAATGAAGAACAATATTAGAAAAGAACCCTTTGGGAAGCTGCACAAAAAATGTTATATTAAAATCGATACCAGGGCTTGACCTTTTGTGGTAAGGTATATTTTAAAGCCGTCTATTGATTCTCTTTCAATAACATGTTTATTCTAGTTTACTGACATGAGCCTAGGGAGACTACGAAAAGAAAAGATCAAATTCTTTATTATGGTGGTCATTTGAGTTTGTCTCAGGCGTTTTTGGTGGCCCACTAGTGCTGTCTCTATGGATTGAACAGACACCATTCTTACTCAGTGTAAGACTGAGAGATGTTATGGAAGTGGCAGAGTGATTTTTATTTTTTTACTTTTGTTGAAAATATTCCTGACTTTGCTGTGACAAATAAGTGTCCCCCACCCCCACACACAATTAGAATTTCTCACTTGTCTGCATGTGTGTAGAAGACAGTCTTATTTCGATTGATTTTTTTTTTTTCCCAGTTCTGAAAATGACCATAATCTGATCTGCTCTATCTGGGAACATTTGATGACATTTCTGTGCATAAAGACAGCTGTCTTTCACCCTAGAACTTCATGGCAAAATGGAGAAGAATCAGAATTCCCCTTACCCGACCTCTCTGATCCCTCCATCTTGTCACTTCAGAGATGGGGCCTTTCGGACTTCACTGGGGAGGGCAGGCACCTAAGGGTGTCGTCAGGTCATGGATTGGTTGCACTCTGTACTCATTTCCTCCAAATTTTTCCGTTAGGAAAAAAAAAAAAACTGGATTAGTTTTCTTACTTCATTCAGATGATTTTCCCAACATACAGATATTAAGAGGTATGCAGAACAGCAGGAAGAGCTTGAGAGATGCACCTGGAAAGGTTATCCTGTAAATGGCAAATTGAATGAGATTCAACCTGTAGAACATCAAGTTAATAGGCTTGGGGAGAAATAGGATGCTTGGATCTAATTCAGTTTTAATATAATAGTCCTGTTGTTTATGGGACATCTGATATCACATGTTGAGAAGCCAGACAGCAATTCCAGGAAGGCTGTAATGAATTAGAGGACATTTTGAAAGGCCAAGTAAATTAATCAAGAAGCTAAAAGAATCAGAAGATTGGGAGACATGCATTGTAGTAATGGGAGAGGGGGGAAACTCAGCAGGGATGTAGCTTAGGGTCCTTAAGGAGGTCCAGAGGCTAGCTAGTTCCCCCACCCTTGAATCTTTAAATGCTGGAGAGGCCTGGGCCGGCCGCAGCTGCCCTGCTGCTCCCATCTCTGCCCACTTCCGGCGGGCCGTCCTCAAGGGTGTCTCGGTAAGGAGAATTGGTTCCTGGGTACGACCTGTAGTCGGTCCTTTATGGTCTGCTTTCTGTACTCTGTGCTCACTTCGCCCATCGTATCTTCCCAGTACCTAAGAATATTTAGAGATAAAAGCAAAAACCTTAAAGAACATGATAGTAACAAGAAGTATTTTTTTCTAATTACAAAAATTGTGGACACTGTATAGAAAATTAAAGGATCGTGACTAAACAAAATGAAGAAAATGAAAATTGCTCATCATCCACTATTCATGCAGAACCACTGTAAATATTTTGGCATACAGGCATATGTACATTGGGGAAGAATGACAAAAGTGGTATTATTTTGTCCTTATTGTTTTATATAATCATGGAGCCATGGTAGCACAGTGGCTAAGAGCTACGGCTGCTAACCTACAGGTCAGTAGTTTGAATCCACCAGTCACCCCTTGGAAACCCTATGGGGCAGTTCCACTCTGTCCCATAAGGTTGCTATGAGTTGGAATTGACTCGACCGCAATGGTTTTTTTTTAAATTGTTTTTATGAGCTGCTTTATTTTTGTTGTTAAGATAATATGGTGAACATGTTTCATGATTATGTAACTCCATGGTTGTTCAATATGAGATATTTAAGCTTCCAAATATATGACTCAGTATTTCACTACTGTAAACACTCTGCATTTAGTGTCCTTCTTAAATTTACACATATTCAGGATTATTTCCTTAGGGTGAATTCCTAAAAGTGGAATTACTCACTCAAATGTTATTAAAAAGAATATTATCATTGCCAAATTATCCTCAAATCATGCTGGTTAACTTACTGCCAATATGCATCGCTGTTTCTCATTGTTGCAAATTTTGCGTTATGCCCACCCATGTGACCATGTCTTATTGTGTCTGCTTACTTGGTTAGTATTTTCATTAATTTTAGATGGATAGTATTTAGTGGGATAGGATAGTCTTTTTGTTGTTCTTCTTACTGAAAGAGTACCATCAGGGTTAAAAAAAACAACCCATTGCCATCGAGTCCATTCCGACCCACTGCGACCCTAGAGGACAGAGTAGAACTGCCCCATACAAGGAGTGGCTGGTAGATTCGAACTGCTGACCTTTTGGTTAGCAGCCTTATCACTTTGACCACTGTACCATCAGGGAACATTTAGTAAATACTTGCCAGATCAATTTGGGTTATTATTAGGTCAACATTGTTAAAAAAAGAAAATGCACCTCGACCTTAATGTTCTCTTTTTAGTGAACTGTGGGTATAAAACTTGTCACTGAGACCTGTATACAGCTGGTGAAATATAGTAGTTGCCCTGGAGTGGCTCGGTAACGTTTCTAAAATTCCCACAATAGATCTGTCCTCGGTGCAGTTTAGTTACTTGATCACCACCATTCCATATTTTTGATACACAATTGTGTCAGGAGATCAAGTGTCAGCAGAAGAAAGACACCAGCTTTGAGAGATTTCTGGTTGTAGAAGCAAAACAATGCCCTGCACGTAGTGTGTACTGAGAAAATATTTGTTGAAGGTTGGATTTGACCATTCTTTCATCTTTTGAAAGATAACATGGTATGCTTTTTGTTTGCTACTATAAAAAAAAAAAAAGAGAAAAATTAAGTATATTTGAAGGTCGAAATGACAAATCTATAGCAAAGTGAAATAGGTGACCGAACCCCAGGCGTAAAAAATTATATAGCTTACACTTCTATTTATTGTTTCTTGATTGTCTATAATGATCTAATTTTTAAATCCCTCTTGTAATTAGTACAGCCATTTTTATAGTATGAGTGTTGATCTTATTCTAAAAATATAAGTAAATGTGCTTGCTGGAACTTTTCTTTCTTGATTCTGCACTGGTAGGAACTTGCTCTTTGTGAAAAATAGCAGATGCCCAGGTCTAGTTTATTGTTGAGGTTCACGCTTGAGTGAGCGTAAGCCTAGTGAGAGGGTGTGCACATCACCCTCAAGCCACATTTAAAAAAAAAAAATCTATTGCCGTCAAGTTGATTACAACTCATAACGACTCTGTAGGACAGAGTAGAACTGTCCCATAGGGTTTCCAAGGTGCGTCTGGTGGATTTGAACTGCTGACCTTCTGGTTAGTAGCCATAGCTTGCCGTAGCTATTAATCACTGCTCCCCCAGGGCTCCATCAAGCCACATAGTGCTGAGTAATAACAGTGAGCATAGAGATGGCATTTGAGAGATGGAAGAGATTTTAGTGGCTCAGAAATGATAATCAGAAGACCGAGGTTCTTGTCCTGCCTTCTCTGCTTGTAAGTTTGACTCTGGGTGAATCGCAATATCCTTAAGCTCAGTTTTCTCACCTTGAAAATTGGCAACAGTTGTAATAGTAATCAATCCTACTTCCCGCCTAGTGTTGTGAACATCAGATAACATATTGCATTTGCATGGATTTATAAACCTTTATAATAATAATGCTATCTTTATTATAATAAAAACAATAATAATTATTGCCACAACTACTTCTACTATAACTGTTAATCTCTTGGATAAACTCCCTCATTATTACAAATTGGAAATCAGGATTGAGGCAATGTTAAATTTTCCATACTCAAAAAAGACTTTTTTTTTCCAGTTTGTTATGTTATGGTGATCAGACTCTGTAGCTCACTGAACCAAAAAAAAAAAAAAAAAACCGCATTTGAAAATTTGCTTCATTGCAAAGTATTGTGCTATTTACAGTAGTTTCATTTGTCCCCAACACCTTTCCAACCCCAGGATTAGAAAATGTTTCCACTTCAGATTGCCTAAAATTATGAGTAAAAACTCACGTTAATGTTCACCCTCCACTTAATTATTCCAGTCTTTGTTCTTTGTTCTCTTTCTTTTTTGGACATGTATCATAAATCACGTTCTACCAAGGGATTAGTCAACCTGATTTCTCCGTTTGGTGGTGGTGTTTTTAGGTGCCATCTAGTTGGTTCCGATCATAGCGACCCTATGTACAACAGAACAAAACACTGCCCAGTCCTGCGCCATCCTCACAGTCGTTGCTGTGTTTGAGCCCATTGTTGCAGCCACTGTGTCAGTCCATCTCCTTGAGGGTCTTCCTCTTTTTCACTGACCCTCTTTCTTACCAAGGATGATGTCCTTCTCCAGGGACTAGTCCCTCCTGATAACATGTCCAGAGTATGTGAGATGAAGTCTTGCTATCCTCCCTTCTAAGGCGCATTCTGGCTGTACTTATTTCAAGACCGGTTTGTTTGTTCTTCTGGCAGTCTGTGGTATATTCAATATTCTTTGCCAACACCATAATTCAAAGGCATCAATTCTTCTTTGGTCTTCCTTATTCATTGTCCAACTTTTGCATGCATATGAGGCAGTTGAAAACACCATGGCTTGGGTCAGGTGCACCTTAATCGTTTAATTGACATCTTTGCTTTTTAACACGTTAAAGAGGACTTTTGCAGCAAATTTTCCTAATGGAATCTGTCATTTGATTTCTTGACTGCTGCTTCCATGGGCGTTGATTGTGGATCCAAGTAAAATGAAATCCTTGACAACTTCAGTCTTTTCTCCATTTATTATGATGTTGCTCATTGTTGCAGTTGTGAGGATGTTTGTTTTCTTTATGTTGACGTGTAGTCCATATTGCAGGCTGTAGTCTTTGATCTTCATCAGTAAGTGCTTCAAACCCTCTTCACTTAACAGCCAACAAGATTGTGTCATCTGCACATTGCAGGTTGTTAATGAGTCTTCCTCCAATCCTGATGTCCCGTTCTTCTTTGTATAGTCCAGCTTCTCTGATTATTTATTTGCTCAATATACAGATTGAATAAGTAT